TGGTTAAGTGAATTAAAGCGTCCTCTGTAGATATGTTTTTCTTGAACCCGAATTGTTTGTCTGAAAGTAAATTAAAAGCTTCTAAGAAGTGTATCATTCGTTTTTTTATTATTTTTTCTAATATTTTAGCTACGCTTGAGATAAGCGATATAGGTCTGTAGTTGGATAATTCCGTGGGGTTTCCTTTTTTTAACAACGGTTTTGTTATTCCTAATTTAAGTACCTTTGGGAAAACACCTTCTATAATTCTATTTGTTAAGTTTGCTAAAGTATGCTTTATATAAGGTGCAGCTAACCGTAGGTGATGTGCGGTAATACCATCTAAACCTGGAGCTTTTCCCAGTTTAAGGTTGAAGATTTCTTGATGAATTTTCTGAGGGTCAGATGGCCCTAAAAAAGCAGAATGTCCCATAATTATGCTTGCAGGTCGTGCTTTACTACAAGCTTTGATAGCAGTTGCCAGTGTTTTACCTACACTGGAAAAGTAATTATTAAAAAGATCTGCTATGTTCTGTTTTTGTCTTACAATGTGATTTTGATGGTTTATTTCGGTGATTGTAGTTTTTTCTTTTCCCTTTCCTGTTAATTTATTTATTGTTTGCCATAGAGTTTTACTGTCTGTTGATTTACCTATCTCGTTCTGGTAATAATCGGCCTTGGTTCTATGTATAAGTTTATTTAATTTTTTTTTATATTCCCTAAATGTTATTTCCTTTTCTTCACATTTTGGGTCTTTTAAATGCGCTTTGTAAAGTTTGTGTTTTTCCTCTACCGATTTCATGAGGCCTGTAGTTATCCTGGGGTGCCTTTTTTTATATTTTGTTTTGAGTTTAATTTCTACTTGCGCATATTTTATGCATTCATTAATTTTTTTAATTAAAGCCTCGACAGCAAGGTTTAAATCTACGTTCCTGTGTATATCGTCCCAATTTTTTTTTGCTAGAAAGGTTTTAAATTTATTATCATCCAGTTTACAAATTTTATTTATCTTGTGCATATTGCTTTTCCTATCTTTTTCCTGATCTACGCCGTTTATTTTCAAAACCGCGAGGACTGGGAAATGGTCTGTAATGTCTGTTCTTAGTATGAATGAGTTTACATTGGTATCTTGACCTTTTAGGAAAATATGATCTAAACATGTTTTAGAGCCCCTTTGCATTCTCGTATAATTATTTATTAAGCACTTAAAACCTTGATTACTTAATAGGTTAAGATTATTTTGTGACATATCTTTGTTTGATTTGATATCTATGTTCATATCCCCCACGAAAAAATGGTAGTTACCCGTCCTTTGCGGATGACTATCAGAAAAAGAACTTAATCCATTAATAAACTCATCCACATTGGAACCATGGGGTCGGTAGAGTGCGCTCAGTGATATTTTTTGTCCGTTTTTCTGTATAGTAATGTCCAACATTTTTATATTACCCAAGTTCATGCGTTTCAATGAAAAACTGTTCCTTTATTCATTCTTAACGTAAATAACTACACCGTCATTTTGGTTAATATCCCCATTATTGTAAATTGTGAATAAAATCATCTGATAATCCTGCGGATTTTTTATCCAGAGGAATGACTCCTAACGAAATTTTAGTTTCCGAAATTTGATTTCATGGTCCAGATTTTTTAAAGTCTCTCAATTTAGAACTGGAGAAATTTGACTTAACAAATAAAACGATACAAGACATTCCGGAGGGGAGAAAAACTAAAATTGTTCTGCTTGGTCATAAAGTAAAAGAAAAATTTGTTTTTTGGAAGTCTATCTTTGAAAGGTTTTCCTCTCACAAAAAATGACGAGTACTTGCTTTCGTTCTTCGGTTCACGACCATCTTAAAGCTTACGTCATTAAAAGGGATTGTGGGCCCTCTTAAGGTTGAGGTACTAGATAAGTCTCAACAGTTCATTGTCAAGATGTTACAAGCACAGCATTTCTCGAACAAGATTCAATAATTGGAATCCAATAAGATTATTTCGAACAAATCTATTTTTCGATTATCGCCCTTTATCGATGAAGATGGATTGCTAAGAGTTGGCGGTCGTCTAGCCTATGCTAATTTGCTCTATTCACAAAAACATCCAGTTTTGCTTCCTTCAAAAACTGCTGTAGTGTCATTATCGCTGAAGGCAGAGCATCTTTGATTGGGGCATGCTGGAGCACAGTTGGTTATGTCAAATTTACGATTAAGGTTTTGGCCCATTGGAGGGTTATCAGAAATAAAGCGTATTATTCGTAATTGTGCGACTTGTTATCGTTTTAGAACTCGATCAAGCCAACAAATCATGTCTGATGTTCCTAGAGATCGAGTAACTCCATCCAGACACTTTACAAAGGTTGGAGTGGATTTTGGTGGGCCTTTTTTTGTGAAAACCTCAAATTTTAGACGAGCCACTTTAGTAAAGGTGTTCATTTCTGTTTTTGTGTGTCTGGTCACAAAGGCAGTGCATATTGAGCTCGTTTCCAGTCTTTCCACTGAAGCTTTTTATATTGGCACTGAAAAGATTTATATCACGTTATCCTTCTAGATGGTCAATATTTGTCTCGAATAGGGTGTCTGAGGTGCAACAACTTACTTCAAATTATCGCTGGCTATGTATAAAATCATCTGATAATCCTGCAGATTTTTTATCCAGAGGAATGACTCCTAACGAAGTTTTAGTTTCCCAAATTTGGTTTCATGGTCCAGATTTTTTAAAGTCTCTCAATCTAGAACTGGGGAAATTTGACTCAACGTCGAATCCAGTCATCGGAGGAACAGGGAAGGGAACATGTCGTCCTCTACCACAACGCCTCTGAAAATGTCTACCGCAGCAGTAGACGAAACGTTAGGTAGAAATAGTACTTGACCACAGCATTATAGCCCGGAAAAAACTTTTTTACAAGAGAAATACCTACTGTTCAATAGTCCAATATTCGTAGAATTAAAACAACATAATAGTTGTACTATTATAATTTATTTAAAATTAAAGAAAAAATCTAACAATAAGTTAACTATCAAAAAGTACAACGTTCTATAATATTGCACCAAAATGTACTTTCTACCAGTCGTATACAAGTATAAGGCTAAAAGTTCAGAATGTTGAGCTGTGGTATATTTGGTATACCACCAAACAGTCAAAAAACGTCCCTTAATAACTAGTAATGTTTTGAAAACTAACAAACCTAATCTATTGCTCTCATTTCCGTTTAAAATTTTCTTATAATAGGTAATCACACAATTAATCTAGATAATAAATGTAAAGGAAAGGCTTACGAAATAGATAGTACAGTGTGATTGTTGTTTACCAAACGTTAAAAAATAAAAACTTCATCTTTGAAATTATTATAATAAATGTCAACAAAATAAATCTGAAGAATTCTAATATGATTTTATGTATACTAGATATCACACAATAACTAAAAATATTTATTCTTACACACTTGGCAAAATAAAATGTATATACCTTCAAATGAACCTAAAATTATAATACTTTTTCTCTTATATTTAACTGATAATAATTTAAGTATGACCAATTTGAAAAATAAAAAAATAAATATAATTTCCAGATAAAAATTATACAAAAAAATATGTTGCGTATTCCTATAAAGGTAACAGTCTATACTGTACCTAGCTACTAAACTACAAGCTTAAAAAGCATCTCGGTACATCAAAAGTCCAAAAAAATTTTTCGATTAGCTCAAAGCATCGCTCAACTTATCTCTTGCATACAGGGTTCTCCCTAAAATGTTCAACTACCTACAGGGGTTATTTTAAAAGTTATCAGTATGTTGCAAATATGTACAACAGCTCGCAAACAGCAAGTTTTTTCTATAAATTTCAAGGTTTGACAGTTTGACAATTTTCTTAAATGGCTCACACTACAAGGTATTATATAAGATGACAATAAATATATTTCCTGATTTCAAAAATATATTCATATTGTTTCATATTTTTCAAATTATGTGTCTGAAAATTTCAAAATTTGTATCTAGTTATAGAATAGAATGGAACAAACCATCTTTATTTAATTTTTTGCAGGCTGATGTGAAAATTTTATATTTGCTTCTGATTTCAATTCAAACTATGAAGTTCTGAACATAAATCAAAACCCCAAAAAATATTTGAATCTGAAAGTGAGTCTGAGGGCGAAAAATTAATTGAGCAATTTTTTTTCAAATACCTACATATTACCATATTTCTACTTACAGTAGTCATTTCAGTTGAACTATTTCCGACGTTTGTATGTTTTATTTTAAGTAGATACCATAAATTTTCAAATTTACTCCCAAAACCAATTTTTTTAAAACTTCTTTTTGACAGCCTTATCTGGGTTAAAGTGAATTAACATACAAGGTGTGCCATCTGAGAGAATTGACAACAGTTTAAAATCTGAAATTTTATAGAAATATCAAATATTATTGAATATTCGTAATATCTGATGATTCAGAAAAGGTCTACAACAATTATACGAAAAAACCCTGTACACATTTTAAAAAAATTCATACATAATTAATTGTTTTTCTAATGTAAAGCATAAAGTAGGTAGCTACTTTACACAGTGTTCATGTAAAACTTTCGAAAACAAGTGCCACTATACCCACTTCTTATATATAAGATACATTTGTCTAATTAATATAATATGTAATTTTTTCTCAAACTTTTTTTAGTGTCATGAAATGTGGTTTACCACCACTTCTCTTGCTTTTATATACCTATAAGGTATATGGTGATATTCATACAACCTTATATATATACCTACTAGGTGCATTGGCATTCCTTTTTTGAGATAATAAACAATTAATAATTTCTATCTGTTTTTAGATAAACTTGATGTAAATTGGCTTCACTCCATAGATAAAAGTTTTCCCAAGAACATCCAAATGCCACTTTCGCATTAACCAGCCTTGGTAGATCAAATTGAGCACAATTAAAATGACAAGCTTAACCGATTGATACCGCCAAGATATCATATAGTTTTTTTGACAGTTACTTTGGTCACAAATTGCACGATCATTAAAATCAATGGGCAAACAATTTTACCCCCCTCCCCTAATCAGAAGCAACTCTTACACTTTGGACGGTCCGAGTCCTATGTTTTTGGAACATTTGAAAAAGGCTTCTGAAGCTGCTGAAGAAATTAAACCTGCTAATATTGAAGTTTATCAAACTGATATTTCAGTGCAACAAATCACTTGTAAATAATAATGGTTTGCCTAAAGAAAATAAGAAGGAAGCATTTCCTTTGAACCTGAACTAATTGATGCTCTAAAGGATATTCCCTCGGATATTCCTGAAACATACGCTAATCAAATAATTGATTTGGTGACACAACATGTTGAACAAAAGGAAAGGCTCGAACGGTATGATCATCTCAATAAAAGTGAAAATTTGTTAGATTTTTCATCATTTATTGAGAAAGCAAATGAAACAAGACCAAGTTCTATAGAAAGTGCTGCCACTCCAAACAAAAAACTGAGACGTAGCAGTACTTTATCAATGTCACCCAGCCAATCTTTGTATTATAGCTTAACTACTTAACTAGTGATAATGAATTAGGAGTACTGCAAGAGGAAAATGGCTATGGTTGTTGCCACAGGAAACTTTTTCCTCCTAAAAATGACTCACTAAAAAAGGAATGGGCTGCTAGTGTAATTGCTGCTCACGTCAAAGGATTCCTAACCAGGAGGTTGCTAAAACCTGAGAAAGTCCAAGCCCTAGTAGCAACAGTCAAAGACGTACTTGTTTGTACAGTTGAATTGCACTGTTCGGATTATATTGATGAAACAGATGTCGAATTGCATAGAAGGCTTATGAATCAATTGTCTGCTACCCTTTATGCCTTTCACATTGTATTTTTTAAACTTTCTACTCAAGAACGAATGGCTGTGATTGCGGTAGATAGGCAACGTAGGATTGAAAAATTGGAAAGGTCTCAATCAGACAGAAGATCTGTTTTAAGAACGTCACACATCTGAGTCTTACCAAAATTTAATTTTTATTTTTTTTTTACTGAAGAATCATATAATGCTGGCGTTTATTTTGTGATTATTTTTTTTATCACCAGTTTGTAAACGGTGGCCTTTATTTGATTTATTTGGAAAAGGGTCATAAGTCGTCATAGAAATGACCCTACAATAAACAAAGTCTCACAAAAGTTTTACATCGAGAGCAGTTCTGTGCTGGTTTGCTTCAAAGAATATTGCAAAATATCAACAACTTTGCAAAGAAAGTCTAAACTTCATATATTTAAACTAATTAATAAAATAACTCTGGCATCATATTACATTCATTGACACATGCTTATTGCACTTTTTTGAGAATGAGATATTAAAAAATACCACAAACTTCACACAAACATGTTTGTAATCTCACATTTTAATTCCTTAAATTCAATGATATTCCAGCTAACTTCGGAGAGTATTGACAGATTGGAATTTAAATTTGGACATATACAGGGCAGTGGCGGTTCGCCCATATGGACAAGGTGGGCAAGGCCACCCTGGAGGAAAAATGGAAAAAATAAAAAATACTTCTAATACAATATATGAAAAGGCCGCGACCTTGAAAATCTAAAAAAAAAAATGCCCACGGCTGTTTTTTATTTTTGTCGCCCACCCTTACTTGGACACCACGAACCGCCACTGATACAGGGTGCGACAATCAAACCTGCAATTTTGAATGAGGCGCGGGAACCAAGAAAGTGGGCGGGGCGAGTTGTAAAGGTAATCGTTGTGGTCCCCCCTTCAAAGCATTTAAGTAGCCATGGAACAGTAGTCTAAACAAGAACGGTCGTTCGCCGTGAAGGCATTTTATCAAAGCGGTAGTTTTACAGCCGCTCAACGCCGCATCCGTGTTCATTTTCAAATTAATCGTAATCGGCCCGTCCTTCTGTTAACTCAATAATTTATGGGTACAAAACTTTGAAAGCATCGGTGAAACGAGTTAATAAAGGCACGAGTCGGATACGATTAATTTGGAAATGAACACAGAAGCGGCTGTATAACTACCGCTTTGATAAAATGCCTTCACGGCGAAGGACCGTTCTTGCTTGGACCACTGTTCCATGGCTACTTTATAGCTTTGAAGGGGGGAACACAACGGTCCCTTTGACAACTCGCCTCGCCCACTTTCTTGGTTCCTGCGCTTTATTCAAAATTGCAGGTTTGACTGCCGCACCCTGTATATGTCCAAATTTAAAGTCGAAACTGTCAATGCGCTCCGAAGTTACCTGGAATATCATTAAGTTCAAGGAATTAAAATGTGAAATTACTAGCATCTTTGTATGAAGTTTGTGGTATATTTTGATATCTTATTCTCGGATAAGAAGGAATAAACATATGTCAATGACTGTAATGATGCCGGAGTTATTGAACTGTGTTTATTGTAGGCTTATTAAATCAGGAGGCGAACCACAAACAATCGCTATGGATAAGTTCTCGACAATTTCCCCTCACTTCTCACCTCGTCCACTCAACGTTAGTCGCCAAAATTGCCACCACAAACGTTCGTTTGGCGTTTTGGCGACTAACGTTGAGCGATGGGTGGACGAGGTGAGAAGTGAGGGGAAATTGTCGAGAACTTATCGGTAGCGATTGTTTGTGGTTGAAACCTTTTCAATTTTACAATCCTACGTTGCCTATCTGCCGCAATCACAGCCATTCGTTCTTGAGTAGAAAGTTCAAAAAATACAATGTGAAAGGCATAAAGAGCAGTGTAATTCAACTGCACAAACAAGTACGCCTTTGACTGTTGCTACTAGGGCTTGGACTTTCTCAGTTTTCAGCAATCTCCTGGTTAGGAATCGTTTGACGTGAGCACCAATTACACTAGCAGCCCATTCCTTTTTTAGTGAGTCATTTTTAGGAGGAAAAAGTTCCCTGTGGCAACCACAATAGCCATTTTTCTTTTGCAGTACTCCTAATTTATTATCACTAGTTAAGCTATAATACAAAGATTGGCTGGGTGACATCGAAAAAGTACTTCTACGTCTCAGTTTTTGGTTTGGAGTCGCAGAACTTTCCATAAAACTGGGTGTTATTTCATTTGCTTCCTCATTAAATGATGAAAAATCTATCAAATTTTCACTTTTTTTGAGATGATTGAGATTTTGTTCAACATGTTGTTGTTTCACCAAATCAATTATTTGATTGGCGTAATTTTTAGGAATATCCTTTAGAGCATCAATTAGTTCAGGTTCACAGGTATTTTTATCAAAAAATGCTTCCTTCTGATTTTCTTTAGGCAAACCATTATTATTTACAGTGATTTATGCAACGAAATGTCAGTTTGATAAACTTCAATATTAGGACGTTTAATTTCTTCAACAGCTTCAGAAGCCTTTTTTAAATGTTCCAAAATTATAGGACTTGGACCGTCCAAAGTGTAAGAGTTGCTTCTGATTAGTCTAGGTTTAGGAGGTGTGGACGGTTTTTAAAAATCGCTGTTACTTCTATAGCGAAAATTATTAAGTAGTTTTATGCCTTGATTACTGTACTCAGTTACTTCAACCAGATCATTGCTTAGTTCTATATTTTTGAGTTGTTTTGAGTCGGTTACCTCAACTAGAACATTACCCAATTATATATTTTTGAGTTTTTTTGGTTCTTCAGACATGTTTGAGGCCTTGACGTGGATATTACAACTAAAAGTGATTTGTGAAGTTGTACGTGTGCTTGGTTGAGATTCTAAGTTCTTCAACGTTCAAGTCGCTGCAATTTTTCAGGAGTTTTTCTAGTTTGATTCCTTGTTTTCTGTAGTTGAGGAGTTCTTTGCGCAGTTCTGGGGTTATCAAGGTGGGTAAAATTGGTTGCCCATTGATTTTAATGACCGAAACGTATGGGGCCCCTGAATTTTCGCTTATTTTGTGGACGGGGCCTAATAATTAACCCAAAATCAATTGAGAACTAATTAATTACTAATATGAAAAACCAAAATTAACTTTTCCGTTAATACTCTGCTAAATGTTTTGATTAATTGGCTAATGAGTGCTGTGTGTGCAATGGGTGACCAAAGCAGCTAGCAAGCAAATTACATGGCAAAACTGTTATCATTAAAATCAGCTTGTAGGTATCAATCGGTTGAGGTTGTCATTTTCGGCGTTTATTTGTGATTATTTTTTTTATTACCAGTTTGTAAACGGTGTCTTATTAAACGGTGGCCTTCATTTGAACTGATTATTTGAAAAAGGTCATAATCCTATACCTAAGTCGTCATAGAAACAAGCTTACAATGAACACAGTGTCACAAAAGTCTGACATTGACAGCAGTTGTATGCTGGTTTGTTTCAAAAATATTGCAAAACATCAACAACTTTGCAAAGAAAGCCTAAATTTTATTTACTTAAATTAATTAATAAAAGAACTCTGGCATCATTACATTCATTGACACATGTTTATTGCACTTTTATGAGAATGAGATATTGAAAAATACCACAAACTTCATACAAACATGTTTGTAATTCCACATTTTTATTCCTTAAACTTAATGATATTCCAGCTAACTTCGGAGTGCATTGACAGTTTCGACTTTAAATTTGGACATATACAGGGTGCGGCAGTCAAACCTGCAATTTTGAATAAAGCGCGGGAACCAATAAAGTGAGCGGGGTGAGTTGTGAAGGTTACTGTTGTGTTTCCCCCTCCAAAGCATTTAAGTTGCCATGGAACAGTAATCCAAGCAAGAACGGAAAAGAAAATTTTAACATGTCAAAACCTGACAGGCATTAAATGAAAATACGAGCTAAGCAAATTTGCAGAGTCAAAAAAATTTCCAGTGTAATCACGCCCATAGAGTACTTTCCAAGAAAAAAATGTCAGGTTATTTTTCTGGCTGTCATGGAACCGTTAGAAAACGCGAGCCTTTCATTGTCTTTAAATACAGGCTTGAAACTTTCTCTTGAATTAATCATTGATAAAAAAAAATATTTTCTAATTATCAACATCTACCCATAAACCAAGCATGTTAGGTTTATTTATTTTTTCCATCCTCATTACATTATTTCAGCGTCCAAACCACACACATTTACCTATCCATTTGTCAGGAACATTGAGCATAAGAACAAACTTGGCTTAGATGATAAAATGTTATGGGCTCGAAATTTAATAGACGACATTAAATTTAGAAGTTTTTAAAATGTATCTAAAAAAAAAAAATAATGGAGCGTTATTTGATTTTCCACTACTGAAAGTTTCCTTGAGAGGAACTTATTAACTGTAAGTATCATTTTGAACTTCATAACAGCTCTCCTAAATATTATGTGCTCTGAAGTTAGCAGAAGGATGACGAACATTTACTGTGCACTGCAACAATTATTTTTGAGGAAATGAGGGAATCTAATCCTTAAATCATATTGAGCCTAACCAAACCAAAATACATGGGGGTTTTTTTAGACACTGAACGTAGGATGGTAATCAAGCACTTTACATGACCTGTAAAATTTGGCTTGCTTCGAACGCAGTACCTGGCAAAAGGATAACAGGGCTAGATACATGTCCAGACTCCACGCAAACCATATTTGGATACTCGTCATCTCCAAAATCAGACATATCCTTAGCACGATCCAACCAAGGATTCCAAACGACAGTGTCTGGAAAATTGTATTTCTGGATTCGCATCTTTCGCCCAGAAACCACATTAGTGATGATGTGTTCTTGTGAAGTATTTTGGTAAATCCTGTCAGTCCATTCGTTAATTGTGACAACATCTCGCGCTTCTTGGTAAATAGAACCATCTCTCGTTTTGTCAACAAAAGTGCAGCCTTGTAAGCCAGTAATTTGACATCGGCGAACGTCAGGAACTTTGAAATAGGTGTGCAGTAGCATATTAAAGCTGAATGTTAGTTCTTTACTGGGGTTATAAACAGCAATATTAAAATGCAGTTCTTTCTCTCGGAGAATCAGTCTATAAGTCAGACGAAACCTGAAAAAGATAATTCTGTAATGTATAATGTGTTGGCAGAGGGAGTTATTGAAAAGGCTTAACGCCCGTGGTAACCGAGATTGGTGCCAGATTTATGGAAAATATAAATAGTCCTACTGTGTTTTCACCGATCCTCTGGGACCTTGTGGTAGACAGCCTGCTACACAGCTTAAATGATGCGGGATTCCCTACTATAGGTTACGCAGATGACTTGTGCATTCTGCTCACAGGCAAGGTTGAGAGCGTTCTATGCGATCTCATGCAAACGGCTCTTAACCAAATTTCATCTTGGTGTGAGGAACACTCCCTGACGGTAAATCCACTGAAAACGAAGTTGATCCTCTTCACCAGGAAGAGAAAGCTAAGTGATATGTACATACCCAGGACAAATAATACCAGTCTACAGCTGACCCCAGAGGTCAAGTACCTGGGAGTTGAGCTTGATCAAAAGCTCAGCTGGAAAAGCCACATTGAGGTAAAAACGGAAAAAGCGAACATGGCCATGTGGCAGTACCGCAGGGCGATGAGCTGGTCATGGGGCCTCACACCCAAAATCGCCTTGTGGATATACACCACTATCATAAGACCAATGGTTTGCTATGCAGGTCTTGTCTGGTGGCCCAGAACCAGACAAGTAAAAAACGAGGGCCCTACTCGATACAACGCAACGACTTGCGTGTATCGGGATCACGAGCGCTATGAGAACCAACCCGAGGAGGGCAATGGAAGCGGTCTTGGATCTGCCACCTCTGCACTTGTATGTAGAGGAGATGGCCCTTTTGACCGCCTGCAGATTAAACCCCTTGGGCTTGTGGCAGCACGGAAGCTGGGTGGGGGGACACTGCCGCATACTAGCGGAAGGGTGCAGAAATGCTCCACTGCTGGGTGGGGCTGTGAATCGCACGATGCCCACACAGATAACAAACAGATCCTACAGTGTCTATAAGTTGGGCGAGGCGCAGGCTACCCCAACCAACGGTCTCAATATGCACGGACGGATCGAAAGCCAGTGGAGGAACAGAAGCGAGTATTTTCTCACCTGAACTGAACCTCCGCATAAGTACCTCCCTTGGTGACCACACCACCGTCTTTCAGGGGGAATTGATGGCGGTCATCCAGAGAGCCAAGATAGCCATCGATCAAGAAATTGACGGCGAACGAGTGCGATTTCTAACGGATAGTAAATCCGTGCTGTCGGCCCTTGACAGCGCTAGAATAAACTCAAAGCTTATTATGCAGTATATAAAGACTCTAGAAGAACTCGCACAAAAGAACACCATTGAACTCTGCCGGGTCAAAGGGCACGATAACAACGCAGGCAATGAAGGGACTGACAGTCTTGCCAGAGCAGCTTCAGGGAAGGCCCCGATGGGACCTCAACTCATGATCCTTCTGTCAACTAACACCGTCATTGCCGAGGTTAAACGAATAACTCGTTCAGAGCACGCCATGTGCTTTGTCACTGCCCAACCTTTTGTCAACAACGGCAAGCCATACTGGGGGACATCTGGCCTGATATGGCCAGGTTGAGGCGCACCTCATCTGGAACTCTCCTGCAATTTATCCAACGGGTGCGATGTCTGCGGGAGACCCCCTGGGAGGAGAATGCGCCTTAACAAATGAAGGTGACACAAAGGGCCCTAAAGCGAGGCCTAGTGTCAGTGAGGTAACTCACCCTCCTTTGCAACTATGCAGATCCAGATCCAGTCCTACTGTTCAAAAAAGGAGATAAGCTGCTAGCTACCAATTACTGCCCCATAAACATGGTAATGCATGGAAAAGACGATAAGAAAGAAAATTCCACCAGCATTGAGGCATTGCTCATCCAACAACAGCTTCGCCGGGCTGGTCATGTCATCCACATGCTAGACTCACATTCTCCTAAGCAAATTATTTCTGCCCAACTAAAAAATTGCCAACGTAGCAAAAGAGAAAAATTTAAACGATACAAAGATGTCCTCAAGGCAAACATGGAAGCGCGTCAGATCGATGGGGTGACTGGGAGGCTACAGCTATAATTAGACCCATATGGCTCGGAGAATTTTGAACAACAAAGGCGACGGAACGTGGAGGACAAATGGAATCGTAGAAAAGAACGAGAACGTCTTATAAGAGCTGTTTTACAAGGGCGACCGGATACCGCTGATTGGTTGTGCCATCAATGTGGGAGAAATTGTGGGTCCAGAATACTGTTATCTAGACATCAAAGAGCCCACAGATAATGATGCTGCCAAGATTCTTATAATACTCGTTAGCGAGTGAATGATATATTGATTGACCTGTTAGAGCCGTTTTAACAAGCAGATCATACCCTGTTAATGTTAATGGCACTTTGTCGGGGAGGAATGGAGTTCTGCTTGATGTTCCGCAAGTCTCAGTGTCGAGAAAACCAAAAAGAAACCCTAACTAATTTGCTGATGGTACTAAGCTATATCCCCATCCAGGAACACAACTGCAAGAAGATTTGACAACACTTGAGGAATGGCCGAAAGTATGGAAAACTAAACCAAATAAACATGATAAATTCTCAGCATAGGCACAAACAACACAGTATCCCTATGTATGGCAGAATATCATATTGAGGCATGTTGATGAATAAGAGGATCTAGGTATTACGATTGCCTGTAGATTAAAATGGAAGTCCTCGTGGGAGTCAAATTTATTCTAAATTTAACCGACAAAGAGACATAAAAAGACTCCTTATGAAAATAAGAAAATATATATTTTTTTAATGCTCAACTATGCTTCTACCCAATTTTGGGTTCATACAACTTATAAAAAATAATAAAGCAGTGAAATTCGAATATGGTGGAACTCCCCATTAGGAAAAGAAAAGTCAGCTAGGATTCCAAGAAAAAAAAATCCTGGTGAGGTGTGGTGCTTCCTACCCAAATGAACTTTTCAGGGATGATAGGGTGCGGGTGGGTGATCATAAAACCGAAAATATCAAACATTCACCCCTCTGGCGATTTGCGCTATAGGGGTTGAAAGTGCGCCATTGGCGATTACTTGGTACCTATTGATTTTACAAAAAAATGTTTCAAATAAAAGATGTGCAACATTATTCGATCTACAATGTTTATCTAAAGACTTTTTTGATTAAGGGCCTTCTGTGGTCATAAGGGCCGTTTGAAATTTTGTAATGAAAATGAAAAATTTAACCAACGTGAAAAAATTTTCTACAACACATACAACATTTTTGCTTTATGAACTTTTACTCACCCCCTGCCGTTTTTCAATAGGGGTAGTTCAAAGCTTTTTTATTTTTTTACAAAAAAAGTTTCTCAATGAAAGTTTTATAAGATTACATTTCCTACAATTTTTCCCAATTAACTTCTTTTGTAATAACTCACCCCCATTCAGCGGGGGGGACACTTCCCTTAGGGAAATTTTAGTTTTTAGGGGTATATTATTTATTTTTTCTTTTCTCACCTTTAGTGCATAAAAAAAGTTGCAATTAACATTGTATTAAAAGGATTTTTTTTCCACCACCTTTTTGTTTTTAGGGGTAAATCGCCTATTTTCAACTTTACAAAAAAAAATTATAAAGACAAATTGTTCAAAATAATAAAATGAACAAGTTTTCTCAATAAATTTTTTTTGGAAAGTTGGAAATAGGCGAACTACCCCTAAAAACAAAAACGTGGTGGAGATTTTTTTTTTTAATACAATGTTAATTGCAGTCTTTAGATAAACATTGTAGATCAAATATTGTTGCACATTTTTTATTTGAAACTTTTTTTTGTAAAATCAATAGGTACCAAGTAATCGCCAAAGGGGCGAATGTGTGATATCTTCGGTTTTATAATCACCCACCCGCCCCCTATCATCCCTGAAAAATTCATTTGGGTAGGATTTTTTTTTTTGAAAATCGACAATTTTCCTAGACTATAAATGAAATGTCTTATCCTCGGTCTTATCCGAAAGGACAGTGTTCAGCCAAGAGTGTTAATTTTGGAAAAAAAAAAATTGATAAAGAACTCTGGCTAATTATGAACAGAGATGCACATTATGGAGAATAATTCAATAAGTATTCCGGTGTTTTTATTTGTTTGTATGATTGAAACACTGCAAGCAAAACATTCAATGGAATCATTGGTTTTTGAAGGGCATTCTATTGTAAACGAATAATAATAACAGTAATAATAAGAATTTAAAAATTTTAGAATGAATATTGGTAAAATATTTCTCAAAAATCTTACTGGTAATTCCAACTGGAACGTGAAAAATCTGAATCCATAAGTGAAAAAATGGCTTCAACATCGCCGCTTTGGAGCCTCTCTGGTGCTTTTTCCAGATTCCATCGGGTTATTCTAGCAAATCCATGCTGAGGACCAAAAGGCCAGGGTCCAAACTGGGCTAAAAAATAAACTAGTATAATACTGAATCTTGAATATAATCATTGATTATAAGCTAATCATGGAGCTAATCATCGATTGAAAATACAGGGTGGAATGTTTAAATGGAATAAATTCAGTATCAGAAAGCCTGTTTATTTTCTGGAAAAATAAAATAAATGGGTCCCTTTATTTTTAGTTTGGCAGATTTTTTCGACCTTTTCATGGAATTTACCCCTCTCTTAAGGGTAGAAACCACTCCTAACATTGAAAATGATGGAGTGAAATGCACAATTTATGTGATTTAGATTGGGATGAAAATGTGTTGAAAATTTTCAGTTATTAATTAAGAAGTGACCTCCCTAAAATAATGAAAAAAAAAAAAAAATCTAATGACTCCAATTATGTTAATAGTTACCTAACTAATGAAAGTTTTTCTTCGACTAATCAGGAGCACCTAAAAGGTGCCTCATTTTGATCAACAATTAAAAAAAAGTTAAGTATTTTCACTTTACGCACTAGTACGTGAAGTATATTACTAGAAAAAAAAACTAAATTGACAATGTCGACATCTGTCATTGTTATTACTTTACGCACTAGTGAATTTACTTGTGTAAAGTGAATTACTTTACGCATTAGTGCGAGAAGTGAAATTTTACGTCTTTTGAATGGTGCGTGACGTGAGTACTTTGCGCATGGTAGTAGAAAAAATTATTTTTCACTGTAGGGCAGTCACTTTCGTTTTTTCGATTTTCTTGGAAACTAACGGACCACCAAATTTCTAATTAGAGGCCCTACTTAGTACCTAATTTTCATACAAAAAAAAAAGATATTTATTTTAATATAGGAGAATTTAATAAACCTAGCGGTCCCTTAGTTTTTGATTTCCTCAAAAACTAAAAGAGCACCTAATTTTCAATTAGAGACCCTAATTATTAGTAGAGTGCCCAATGCAGTTAAAGCCTTCTAAAAATGAGTTTTGTGGGCGCGTCGGGGTTACAAGCTGAAACTTGAAGCACAGAATGAAGGTTTTATAATATTAATTCAAAATCCCAAGGTAATACAAAATCAGAACGGACAAATGGGCAGTATATTTAAAAATTGAGATTATTATAGAATAGTAATTTATGACTGTTCTCATATAAAATTTATTTATATTTTTGTATTTTTCTTTATTATTGCTTGAAATAAGCTGAATACCTTGACGCTTACGGTAAAATAAATCTAAAAATTAAAATATCTCCGTTCAAACCTGAGCAAAATCTGATTGAAATATACTAATTTTTGCATCCACCTCGCATTATCTCCGAAATGAAGGCTCAAATCAAAAATGTTTGTTCTTGCAAAAAGTTTGCCCCATGTATCTAGAATATACAGGGTGTCCCACGGTGGATGGCGTATTGACGTTTATGGAGAACTAAAAAGCGGATCATTTTGAAAATTTGGCAACCGGGATAAACGACCATAATCTACACTTTAAAAATGCGGTGTTGCCGCTTCTACTCTAAACTAGTGGCAACATCACTATTTTAAATGGAACACCCCGTATTAAATTGTATATTTACATATACGTAAAATTCTAAGCAGATTTCATGCGATATACCCTATACCTAAGTTCAACTGTTTTGGAAATATTGACAGTTGAAAATTGACTTTTTGCAACTTTGACAGGCTGTAGAACCTGAACGGTTAATTTAAGAGGAAAACCGATTTTACATTCCTATCTTAGATTTTTATAAACTATCATTTGCCACCAACTTAGAATTAAATCCATGATTAAAAAATTCAGTTAAATTTAATCTCTGGTTAAGTTCAAAGTTGGTGTTAAATGATGGTTTATCAAAATCTAAGATAGGAATGTGAAATCGGTTTTCCTCTAAAATTAACCAATTAGGTTTTACAGCCTGTCAAAGTTGCAAAAAGTCAATTTTCAACTGTCAATATTTCCAAAACAGTTGAACTTAGGTATAGGGTATATCACATGAAATCTGCTCAGAATTTTATGTAGAATCCAAATATGCAATTAAATACGGGGTGTTCCATTTAAAATAGTGATGTTGCCACTAGTTTAGAGTAGAAGCGGCAACACCGCATGGTCAAAAATATTTTTAAAGTGTAGATCATGGTCGTTTATCCCGGTTGCCAAATTTTCAAAATGATCCGCTTTTTAGTTCTCCATAAACGTCTAATACGCCATCCACCGTGGGACACCCTGTATATGTGCAAGAATAATTTTTTTTGTTTTAAATTTTAAGGGAAGTATAGAATTAAATATAAAAAAGTAATTTTCTTCTAGCCGCGACAGCTCGCTCTCACCGCTGCACAAGTACTCTTCCATCTCACTTTTCTCTGTAGCTCCCTTTCCCTCTCGCCAATTGTAAAATACAATAAATCATTTTACATATTATATACCTTTGAATTCTGATTTCAAAATATTCAAACCTCAATTGCTCGGTAACCGTTGAGCAAATTGCATTAAAATTTTCAGCATTTGTAGCTCTTATTAAGCTCGAAATGGCCAGTAATTAACAATATTCCCAGATTTATAGTTTTTGAGCAAATTGAGTTTGAAGTTTTTGACAAAATTTGAACTAAAAGTCAAATTTGAGGCTCAATTGCTCGGAAACTATTTGAGATATCAAACTCAATTTTACACAGATTTATAGAGAATTTAATGCTCTTTCCAATGGTACATAATTCAATTTGCTCAAAATTTACCAAATATATTGGCAATTGTTCATGACCATGTCAAGATTTTGGAAATTTTCCAGAGCCAAAAATAGGATTTTATTTTTATTTTTGTTTCTGCTAAAAATGGCCATTTGGAATTGATGTCAGGGTTGTTTTCCACTAATTGAGACCCACTCTATCGATTAATCTATCATTACGAAGTGTATGAGATCAGTCATAAATTAATATTCCATACGTTCATGCATGCGTAATCTCAATTTTTGAATATACAGCCCTTTTGCCCGTTCTGATTTTGTATTACCTTGGGATTTTGAACATAATAAAACCTTTATTCTGTGAAAATTTCAGCTTGTAACTCCGACGCGCCCACAAAAGTCAAAATATATTATAAGGAGCACTCTACTATATTAGTACCTTAAAGCACCCAAGTAATTTAGATAGAAAAAAATTGAAAAACAAATTAATTTTCATCATGGGGAGCAGTTAAAAGGCACCTTATTTTGCTACAAAAAAAATATATATTTTTTACTATAGGGGACTGCTAGGACACGATGTAAATCTTTACTGTACATTCCTTACTGTCGAATTTGGTACTTATACCATTCAGTCCTGTAAAAAGAATATCTGCCAATGTAAATAAATTCTACGAGGGTCTTGACTTTTTTCGTTCATCTCAAGATAAATTTAAGATGCAGGCCAAGAGAACTGTTTTAGGTTAGATTATTTTGGATTTGAGCCGTTTTTTCGCAATCACTTTTTTGACATTGGTTTAAAACAGGTTTGAAACGGGCAATGGTGTTTCCATTGATTGTTTCTAATTGGCTTTGAACCAATTTTAAAAAAGTGAACACAAGAAAACGGCTTTAAACTCTGTACAACTTCAAAATGTAGGTATGTATTTTATTTTATACCTTCGTTTATATCTAAATAAATAAAATGATGAACTTATTTCCAATTAGAGGCCGAGAGGCATTTCACTCTCGAAATATGTGTAGATAATTTACCGAAAACTCTTCGCAATCGCAGAAGTCGCTACCAAAATCTCGCAATCGCTGTCGAAATCGGGAAATCGCAGCCGAAATCGTGAAATCACACAGTCTTGATGAAAATAAAGAAAAGACTAGCAATATAAAACTATACAAAAACTGCAATAAAAGGGAAGTGAATTTTATTCATAATCATTGTATGCAAGCATCTAAAGGAGGTGTGACAACACAACAACTTAAGCTACCTAAATCAAGAAAACTAATCTAAGATCTCGCGTGAAAACCACACTCCTATACTCAAAATAGCCTGCAAAATAGAAAATAGTATCAGAGAAAATCCGTTATAAAGATATTATGCGGGATCGTTGCAATTTTTCAATAAAGAAGTTAGTGAAAAACAGAGCTGAAGCACAAATTCTTAATCCTGTAGATGTAATCGACAAAGATGAAGAAATGAAAATATTATGTATGGTAAATGCACCAATAATTGACACAATTAGACTCTCTTATGGAATTTAAATGTATCTTTGGGGACCCAGTAATTGACACCTATTATCCAATTAGTGACACCCCAGTTATTGACACAAAAAACATTTTTTTTTTTTTTTTTAGTACTTGACTATATAAAATGAGTAATAATAAGCCACAGCTGCTAGAACTTCATTCATCTGCTCTTCGGAGTATTTTGCTGTGATTGCATTAAATTTTTTATGAGAACCATTCATTGACACATCAGTCAATAATAATTGGTACATGGTCATAATCACTTGATTCAGTCTTTGAAACCCACGTCAATCTCAGACAACATGTTTTACTAAGAAATACACATTAAAAAACCTTTCAATCATACTTAAACCCTGCCCTCAAACATATGGAATAAATTAAACATAGATACATTTAGCAATAAAAAATGATATTTGATTTATTTGCCTTAACAAATCTCCTAATTTTTCTCAACTGGCAGATATCATCTGATTTCTTTCATAGCTAGTAGAATGTTGCCAAATACTGTATTAATGAAGTTTTTTTTATGAAGAATGGCTCTGGGACGTCGAGCTGGCTTGTTTTGATAACATTTAACTTTACATGTCAATTATTGGAGCACTGTCAATAACTGGTGCATCTACCTTATTCTGATGAAATAAGTTGTTTTTTTTTGAAGTTTGTTTCCAATCCTTTATTACACTGATATAGAAATTAGAGCAAAGAAATTCCCTCACAAATTCTATATGGAAAAAATTGAAGAAAAAATTATTTACTCTAATTACTCTTCAGTGTGTATTTTCTTATTGTATATTTTGAAATACAAGTATTCATTATTATTTGTATAATAAATGAAAACACAAGTACATACTTGTACTTATTATAGTAAATGAAATAGGAGGTCAACTACTACCTACAAAATAAAAATGTTATCAACACTTTAAAATGACAAAGTAGGTACTTATCCTAGGGGGACTGCGAGGAAATCGTGGTAGTCTCAAAGAGACTTCAAAGGAATCACTAGAAAGATTTCCTCGAAATCGCTGCAGTCACTTGGATTTCTCAGAATTTGAAATCACCAAAATCGTTTAGTGATTGCAGGGAAATCGCCGCAATTGTTAAAAAAATACTGGAATCCCAGTGATGAAACACCTCTCCTTAGAGGCCCTAATTGGCAACCAATTAATATATGAGCCCCGAACTTTTTTTCCACCACTGCTAGGTTCAACATAATCATATTAGAGTATTAGAGCATGAAGTTTAGGAAAAGAGGTGATAATGCAAGGTATATAACATTTTATTGGTATGTAATTGAGTAATTGCAAAGCTTATTATATTTAATCTACCTAGATTGGAAAGTTTGGAAGAATTAAATCTAAAAATATAATGTATGTAGGTACTTACGAAAAACAAATGGAATTCCACCTCTAATAGGTTCCTTTCCATCAAATTTTGCTTGTTTACTAAAAGTATATTTATAATAAATAATATTGGCATGGCACACAATCACTACTCTTGCTTACCTAACAAAGAGTTGCTCTTGGTTGTTAACTCGCCATGAAACAACGGTGGCCCCTACAAAATAAGAGGTTATGTCAATGTTTGCTTTTTCTCTCTTTTTTTTTGTATTCTAGAGATGATGGAAACAAGGCAAGAACTAGTGTGGCGGTAAAAAATGAATGGATGATTTTTGGTTTCTTAACTTACCATGTAAATTTATGGTGCATGTGGTGTTGTTGCCCCTATCGAGAACTACAACGCTAGTGGCCGCCATAGAACAGTTTTTCTGAGTCAAAATCGGCCTGTTAACTTAACGCTGTGCTGTTTTGTATCGGCGCTAGAAAACAAAACACAACTCTCCTTGAAACTTGTAATACGATTTTAAAGTTTGAAGTGATTACCTGCGCAAGAACAAGGTGTAAGGTCCCTCTGTCGGTACACTAGCGAAAAAATACACTTTATATGGGACACGTAGACCAGACAGGACAACCGGAACCGGACTAATGTGATTTCGTCAATACAATTTCGAGAATCTGAGAAAATCTATAGTAAGCTAGCAACCAGCGCAACGCTCCCTATTCGCCAGATCTTAATATGCATCGGAACAAACCCAACTAGTTTTTCTAACTTACAAAAAACGGCATAGCTTTGGATGATAAATGAGCCTTTCTCCTTTCAGTTCAGTTGAATGAGCGCCATCTTTGTCCGGGCAGCTCAAGTACGAACAAGAAAAAGCTCGGACCCAAACCCATGTATAGGAATTTTTGCGGATATCAGGCAAGGATAATACACACTACTACTACAGGAAAGCCTATCCTCATAAGGCCAGTGTGGAACAAATCTGAAGCCCCCACCGTGCCAAATCACCCAAATCAACAGTTGTGACGTAGGCAGCATGTCCTTTCTCGCCTTGACGTAGGATGTTTGCACTACAGGTTATGATTCCGCGGGCTTTTGCTTTATAAATACTTGGTTTTACTACATTAATTAACATTCTAAAATAACTTTTTTTCAGATCTCGTTTTCAGCTTCCTCGTTGCCTATTAGGTTAATCAAAATTAAATAATATTTTTCATCGTAAATTTAAATTCTAAACTACGACCGCTACGCTAGTGCAAACAGCTAATGACTTACTTATGACTGACGTCGGAAATGGCGACACGCCAATATGGCGGCGATCACGAAAAACGAGGCCGATAAGCAATCCTTAGGTGTGTATTATCTTTGGATGGGACCCAATATTGGTGCGATATGGCGGTGGTGGACATATCGCTACCGCCACCGCCATATCGCGCCAGTGTGTGTGATCGTTTAACGTTGCTGAAGTAAACAATATTAAGGATGATACACACTACTACTCAGTGGCGCAGCCAGGGGGGCTTCAGAGAAAAATAGAAAAATAACAAAGTAGACGAAAGCTGTAAACTGCTCATATCAGGAAAAAGTTCAAAGAAAAGCAAATCTGTGTTTTTTCCTATTTTTTTTCTGCATGCCCCCCCCCCCCCCCCCGCCAAACAAAATTTCTGGGTGCGTCACTGCTACTACTACAGGATGGCCTATCCTCAATCCTCATCATAAGTCCTGAATGATATTCCAGAAAATGCTACAATTTGGTGAAAATATTTTGAGCAGTTTCGACGTCCGGTCTAAACATTTGATGAAAACATTCCTCTGGCAATTCCAGGGTATTGCGTAAATGTTTATATGGAACAACCCGGTGTTGCCTTAAACAAATTATCAGGAAATTTTATCGAGAGCAACTTCAGGATCCATTATTAATCAAAATCGCCAGTGAAATATAGCACAAACACTTAACACTACCTGTATGCAACTATAACGACCGTTACACTGGGCTGTCGCAATCTAACGACGCTTTTGCGTCCATTTTATCGTTACAATAACGACCACCGGAAGTTACTGGATCGAAAAGGTCGTTAGCTAACGACAATCGTTGAATAAGGACTTCGTTACGAGTTACAGAATAGGCATCGTAGGCTGTTTAACCCAGCTGAAGACTTAGCTATGACGTCGGCAATGGTGGCACACCAATATGGCGGCGGGCGATTACCAAAAACGAGGCGGATAACTCCTTAGAATGTGTATTCTCCTTGACGTAATATAGCCAATTTTAAGCGATTGACCAGTCGGTCATCTTGACAGATAAGCAATGCATTCAACGTCAGTTAAGACCAATGAGGAATTTGCACATTTTTTTTTCTTCTTATTGAATTCTCAACATTAGTCCTTTTCACGTGGCTCCGTTTAAACTAACCGGGTTACAAAACGGTTAGTAGCGGTATGTCAAGTATAACATACCGTTTTCTAACCCCGTTACAAAGTGACGTGATCGATATCACTCGAATTTGAGCGGTATGTTGCGGTTTGTTAAACCAGAGCCACGTGAAAAGGGTTATTGTAAAAAGTTAACTGCCACATAAGGCGATTTTCAGCCTGGAATGATTATTATTTGGTTATAACCAATGCATTTCCGCCGTCGCGGTTTTAACCAAAGTAGGGGAAGTTGTAACGTCACATATCAGCTGATTTGCTTTTGGTATTTACCACTTATAACCGATTATAACCCAGCTTTGGACTTGGGTTAATCTTTTGGTTACAGCTTTTTGATGTTATTGTTATTATTTTTGGAATTTGTATTGGTGTTTTGTGATTATGCAGTTGCGTTGTAGCCTGGCACAATGGAAGAACTATAAATTCACTCACTCACTGCAATTCACCATGTCTAGATCGAGGTTTAGATCATCCCCAAAAAAAAATCTATTTGATAAACGAGACTAACGAGAGATTCCGCTCTATTTTTTGTACCTAAACAAAAAACTATTGTTGAAACGAAAAAACAAATAAGAATAATAAACATAATCCTACACTGCTATAACCAAATCATTTCAGCGGTCAGTTCCTTGGGTTATGATTCTTGAATGGTGGGGGGCTATGACGTCACACTTGGCTGTCAAAGTTGTCAACCAAAAGAATAACCACGGTATTTACCCATTAATAATCATTCCAGGCTGAAAATCGACTATACATTTTGAATTTTCAACTGAAACTTTTACCGTAAAAAATATAGAAATTCAAAATAACTCTCTTCGCGCCAAAACGCAGTCGTAAATCAATGACGTCAAAAGACGATATCCGTCAAAACGAGTCTCTGTGCTCCCTGTCTTACCCATTAGGCATTCCAGGTTGACGTCATAACCGATCCGCCATTTTAGCTGACGGGCAAACAAAAGCCAAACATAACCTGATTTAATGTTATTTTCAATGCAAACCGAGAATTTTTTTGAAGTATTATTTTGTGAAGATGCCTTAGTTTTGTTGCGTTTTTGGGTGCTCCAATAGAGCTGAAAGGGATAAAGTGAGGTTTTTTAGGATTCCAGCAGCATTTAAAGATCGAGGGGATCGCATATACGAGCTATCAAAAAAACAACGGAGTATGTGAATTAGATGCCTCAATAGGGGAGATTTGCCTGTAACGTTGTTAAAAATGCTCGAATTTGTTCGAAACATTTTGTTAATGGTAAGTTTTATGACTGTCTTGTTGTTAAAATACAAAAACACTTCATCTCGGTACATCAAAAAAGTTGTTTATGTTTCTACAAGTATATAGGTAACTTTTAATAACTTTTAGGTAGTCCAGCAGAATTTAAGGATACAAACAATCCGGATTGGGTCCCCAGTACAAATTTAGGATATACTACGATAATTGATAGAAGCCCAGAATGAACAAGCCAGTAAGCTAAGCTACATGCCAGATCTGTGCACCGATCAGAACAGTCAAAACGTTTGAGGAGTCATTGTACCACAAATTTATTTTGCTAAAATTTATTTGTAAGGTTGTTAGTATCAAACTTTTTTATTTTTTAAACAATTTAGATTCTTAAACATTATTTTTGTTAATAAATTGTTTGTTTACTATTGTTGAATTGAAATGTAAAGTGGCATGTCTGTAAATAAAGATTCATTCATTCATTCCATTAATTCACAAAAACTAAAAACAACTTAAAATTTATTGCATAAATCAAAAAACGCAAAAATTCCAAAGCACAAACTCAAAAAACGTAAACAATAATGATCTGTAGCACAGCCTTCTGTAGGCTTTGTTTGCCCCTCAGCTAATATGGCGGACCTGTCAAAAGTCACGTGACCTGGAATGCCTAAAGGTAAGCACATAGTGGAGCGACGAGCAAAGTAGTGAGCATGTGAGGAGAGCAAAGCAGCGAAAACTAACACACGAGATCAAATTGTTTGACACATAGTAAAGAGCAGCGCGGAGATTTAGCAGCGCTGTTAATATCGAGCAAAGCGACGCGTTCAAGCAAGTTTGATTTTTCTACTTTGCTCGTTTGTCTCTGTGTAAAAATGGACGTTGAATAATTAATAAGTAGTATTTTTGTTAAAAATCCATTGTGAGACCAAAAACATTCCCAACATCATAACCAATACATATTAGATAAGTTGTAGGATGATGTAAAAGGAGATATATGAAGTCAAGAATTAAGTGAAAATTATTTTATTAATTGATTGCTGCTGGACCAATTGGATTTATGTTAAAATTAGTCCATTTTTTTACCAATCTTTGTTCCAAAATGTAATCAAAGGTTTTAATATTCATTCGAAGATAAGAGTGAAATTTTTCTGGATGTTGCCGTAATTCCTCATATAAATGGTGATATTCGCCTAATCGAAGTTTGCTTCTGTTTATATGGTGTGTAATACACCTTCTTTTTTTCTATCTGTCTTCTTTTTAAATACCAAAATATTTAAAGACGACGTTTGGGTTAAAACCAAATTATTCATTTTTATCTTTTTCACTCGAGTATTAACTCGCCACTATGTGCATACAATTCTCTCATCCACTCTCTGCTCAATTGACGCTCTGCTCTCCGCACTGCCCGATGCTCTGCTCGCCGCTCCACTATGTGCTTAGCCTAATTGTGTTTATTACTTCACTTTTAATTTAATACATTTCGCATAAAAATAAAATTTTATATGCAACTTCCTCATTGGTTAACAAATAACGCCTAATTAATGGTTTATCTGTCAATTATTTTTTTTTGAAGAAAAATGTACCTTTTTGGGTGCGGCACCCGAAAAAAATTTCGGCTTTTGACGATATCCTCCGGGCGGCGGCCCCGCGGTGGGCTATTTAGGCCAATGAACTATAGCCAAAAACTGGAATGCGCGCACATTGCCATATCTGCCCAAAAAATGAAGCCATGAAAGACAGATGCCACAAGGGGGAATGTTGTTTTTCTCTGTTGCTCGCTGACATATGACGTTTTCGAAAGATTTGTCATATTTTCCTTCACAGGTTTCATCAATTGGAATACGTGTTGGAAGCAATTTTTGCCATTTAACATAATGAGTGCGACAAAAACAGGTATCCCCTCCGCAGCAGCCGCACTAGGCTTCAAGTTCGTCCTTATGTGTTAGCATTCCAGTTTTTGGTTATAGTTCATTGATTTAGGCAATCCAAACCACGTGACATTCAAGATGGCGTGGCGGCCGCACATGGGCAGAACTTCATTTTTAGTCGTGTGTTGTCTGCTGTTTTCTTGGAGTTTCGCAGTTTTATGTGCTTTAAGGCGTATTTTGTGAGGGGTAAATCTGTTGAGT